ATGGTCATCCTCCAGCATCATGTCATCCTCCAGCATCATGGTCATCCTCCAGCATCATGGGCATCCTCCAGCATCGTGTCATCCTCCAGCATCATGGTCATCCTCCAGCATCATGGTCATCCTCCAGCATCGTGTCATCCAACAAATCACTTGCACCGCGGCTAGCACATCATCAACCAAATTAAAATTAAGAGTGGAGCATCTATGTTTTTATAATGGCTATCGGCGGGCGCCATATAGGTGGAGCATCTATGATTTATAGTTAATTACGGGTGGCGTGCACCACCTATCCCACACCTAACACCTGCCGATGGCCTCCCTTCCCGTAAAGCTCTTCTTCCGCTAATAACTACCCATTGGCACCGGTGGCGCATCAATGAACCACCGATGGCCACCTTAGAAATGAAGTTAATAAAATTTTTCCTCTAGTTTCAAATCCGATGCTTCTGCATTTACTGCTATTGCTTCATACAATCGCCATTCTAAGGTCTACGTATGCAAATCTGCCATGGCAGTACAAATAACAATCTCAGACATGAAGCAGGAACAAATTATCAGAGCACCATACACACACCACGTGAGAAATCGACTTGAAGAAAATCCCTGCCAGCAGGAATAGCAGGATTCGAACTCCGATCTCCCGCATGCGTAGTCGAACCTCTACCGTTGAGCCATCGGAGAGAACATGGCAATCGAGTAATTTTGAAACATTTATTGAAGTATTGCAAATATTAATTTCATCAAATGAGAGAAGTAAATGCTACCACCGTGATGATTAGATGGTTCCATAAAAATTTTATTTGAATATGCTGCTATACTCGAGCCGCTGAAAGAAACTTCATTTATCCATTACGAACGATGGTTCAGCTCAGAGTAAAGGCTACGGGAAAATGCTCAATAAGTATCGAAGTTTCATAATGTGAACATTACACCAATTTTGACAGCGGATTGATTCGATATATTTTCACCAAGAATATTCATACGTGAAATAAGGAATTATTATTACTCGATTATTTTTAAATGTCAGGCGTGAAATACCTGCACCACTTCTAGTCATTATTTTTCTCTAGCCTAACCTTTAGTCTTGTGTGTAGGAAAGATACCGGGACCACTTTATTTGAAATTTAGTCTTGAAATCAAAATAATAATCTGACTCTAAATTAAATTTCACTATCGATGTAAAATCAAAATAATTGTCTGACTGTATATTAAATTTCACTATCGAAGTCAGGATGGAAAACCGAATTTTTACTCGTATCCTCTGCGTAAAAAGGATACTTTTGTGACAAACAAATTACCCGGAAAGCACATGTTTCAAGCAGGACGAGGTAGAGATTAGTAGGAAGTTCAACGCCGACGCGCATCAACCCAATCGGTATGAACGTGTGCTTACTGTGCTTAATTAATGGACTCGCTCGCTGAGCTTGATGCCTAGCCGCTGTGCTTTACAAAGAAGCCGAGCCGCTGTCGACTATGTCAACGTGGCTTTTGAGTTTAGATAAATGGGGCAACTTGATAAAATTTTAAATATTATGAAACACACTTAATCGATCCATACAATTTATACTTAATGTTACAATAATTAGTCTCAATTGATCGCAATATTTCCAACAATGCTAATTGGCGCTTACACAAAATTCACAATAAATTTACGCAATATTTCAGGTGAACATGAAAAATTGGATTGACCGTCTTCTATGGAAAAACTGTATTTATTGCCACAAAATTTTCCATTGTTTCTCGGATAATTTATATCAGAAGCAGTCTGATACATGGCCGGTGGCTTCACTTTGGCTTGAAAAATTTGTGAACACCTTGCTTCTGTCTGTCAGTTTTATTGGTACCTACCGAATTCACGTTAAATTTTCGTAGCATAACTTAATCTTAAATGCCAAGCACGCAGAACGAAGTCATCATTTCGTCTTGATCTCGAATGACCCGCAACCCAATAAAACCTTTCTACATTGGATAAATAACCTTGGCAAATAGCTTCGGGCACTGTGTAGGCAAACGGTTTTCAGTGGCTTAAAAGAGACTTGCCTGCAATGCGCTATCGACTATTATAAATCGAAAGACCCTATATAAATCATCGATGACTGCCACCTATAGTCGCCACACTCTCGATTTATTGATGTTTTATTGTCGATTTTTAGCAGATCTGGCCACCACCGTTACGCCGCCTATAAACTACTATCGCCACTTAAGTCATCGGTGCGCCATCCTTAATTTTTATTTGGGCATGAAGGGCAGAATGACGGCAATAAGCTGCCTCACTATCTGCTGGCCGCGGATGAGGTATCCTGCCCCCCCCCCTCAACAATTATTCCAATTGAATTATTTAATCTAGCATTATCATTTTAGGCGGGAGGAACGAACATTTGTCAGGCGACAAGAACCACAAATTGATTGTAATGATTGTTTATGTTGTGTGGTGAGCGATGAGCGCATCAAAACTTTACATTTTAATGATGTGCTAGACGTGGTGCAGGTGGTGTGAGTAACACACGCGCTGTGATGTGCTAGACGTGGTGCAGGTGGTGTGAGTAACACACGCGCAAACACACGCGCTGTGATGTGCTAGACGTGGTGCAGGTGGTGTAAGCAACACACGCGCTGTGATGTGCTAGACGTGGTGCAGGTGGTGTAAGCAACACACGCGCTGTGATGTGCTAGATGCAGTGTGCTAGGTTTGGATAGCGACTCCTTCCCACTGACGGCTCTATTGCCTACTGATGAGGTGCCCTCCAGGCGCTCGTCGCCCGTGTGTCGTCGCCGTCCCAATGTAAACATCTCGCCACTACTTCGGCCGTTTGTCGCCAGAACTACCGCGTTGTTTTCAAATATAGTCCATACTGCTGACTGTAACTCGATAGAGTAGATACAACCGGCTGCACTTGGTAGGGTCGACTGTAACTCGGCTCCAAATGTAACTTTTTTGAGTGGACGTCCATAGAGTGCCTCTACTGAGTACTCTATATAGATTTCTAGTGGCCGTGCAGCAGGTCGCGCTACGCAAGGTTGGTAGTGCGCCGACGACTATTTCATCGGCGATTGAGGATCTGGTGATTTTTAATTAATTGCGATGGGGCGCGAAGGAGTGGGAGGAGGAGGAATTAAAGGAGGTTTCTAAATTAAATCAAACTCATGATTGTGCAATTAAATAATTTTAAAGACTGGTGTTAGTTGACCTCACTCACGGCTCAGAAATATTATTTGAGTATTTCGCTACTTACGCAATGTATGTAACATCATTCAAGTATTTCGCTACATACCCAATGTGAACGTGCCGTGTAACCTGCCCAGTCAAATTTACATAGCAGGCCAGCCACCCCACCATCTCGCAACCAATGATTAATAATGAAACTACAGTACCGTAATTGAAGAGACCGGACGCCAAACACACTTCCAGCATGACTCGGAGACAAACACAATTCGCATTCAAGATTTATTCTGCAATATAAAGGATATTTAACGTTTTCTTAAATGAATAAAGTGTACCCATAGCAGAGTGAAAAAAAACAGGTAATAAAGTAATAAATAAAAACAGGGAAATTCGTTGCTGTTCTCAAACTGTATATATTAAGCAATTATTTATGCAAGAAGCATCACAATAACTTATGAATGAGCAGATTTTAACATTAGATGAAATATGTAGATCGTACCAAAATGAATATGTGATCGATTTGTGAAACCTCTAATTTCCGTGAGGTTGAGGGTAGCTAAGGGTAACTCGAGGGCTGCCAAGTATACCGTATATTGCCTCGCATGAAGCTAGGAGTTCCGAGGATATCAATGGTTGACAAAACGAGAAATGTTCTAGCGTTGAGGCTCATTTGCAGTAGTTAATGACTGGGTAACGGTGCAGCATACCCGAAAATAAGAGTGCAAAGTTTTTAAAAGTGTATTTACCTTAGAATTAAAGGCCTGAACACTTTAGAAACAAGTGCTCAGATCGGTTTACAGGCATTTCTTGTAGACTGAAGAAAGATAACGGTAAGTTTCTTCTTTTTATGCAGTTGCGGAAAGGTGCGTTTTTGTCGGTTTTGAGCTGTAATGTCGATGCGTCTGAACATGAACTTCAGCCTGTGATAATCGGAGAAATGAGATTATTGATTGTTTATTTTGAAGATCGCCTTTATAAACCCGATACCAGATTGGCTGGCTCAGAAGCAGTCTCATCGAGGCTAGAGTTGTCGCAATTAAAGTGGACCAAGAAAACGCCCATGGTGCTGCCATGTTATGAACTATCCGTGTCTTACTAGGTTTTCTAGTAAAAGTGTGTCATGCGATTGTTTAGGGTGTGTGGAAGCACTAAAATGCGTATTCCAGTTGGGCAAGTTATTTCTAAGCAGCAGCATTGTGTTAAAATTCAAAGACATTTAAAATTATCAGATTTTATTTTATAAAACGGCAGATGAAATTCAAGACTTTGCTGCTTATTTGTATTTGTGTTAAACATTACATTTTCCCCTGATCAGATCTCTTGCGAGATGGCCAGCGCAGGATCGAGTGCCAGCTGTACGCCCTCTGTTCCAGCTGGTGGACTGCCGGGCCCAATAGCATCCATTTACCGCAGCGTTGTGGGCAACCTGCACCTGAGCCCCAAGGTCATGCGGTTCGTCCTCAGCAAAGAATGCCAGGACAAGCGCGACTATGAGACCTACAGGCAGTACATGGATCGCCTGAGGACAGAAGCAGGACAAAAACCTTTTTCTAACAAAGAATGGAAGCAAGCATTTAGCTTTAATGCAACAGCTTTTGAGACAGCAAAAAATTCCGACGAGAAAGACGTCACTGCCATACATTGTCTGCTCGGAAATATGTACACAAAAGTTTCGAAAATGTGCCGAAAGGATCATACTGAACTGCTTAAGAAATTGGATATCGTCAAAGACTGGCGAAACACGACCTTTCATAGCCTAAAAGACGTTCAAGACGACACAAACTTTAGCTATCTGAAGGTAGCGTTGCTTGACCTGATTAATGAAGCCGGAAAATTTTATTTTCTTATCCAGGAAGAGATCGATCGTGAGAAACGGGAGTTGGAGGATGAAATGGACAAGTTAGTGGCGAACAAGGATTGTATATACTACTGGTGTTTGAGTCTGTTGATGGGCGGCAAAGAAGCCGTAAAACTTCTCTGGAAGGACAGGCTATCCAGTGAGGAGCTCCTGCTATACAGCAACCCCATAAAGGTCGAGCGCCGGGACGTGTTCCACGCACCAGTGATGAAGAAGAGAGCATGCGATGAGGAAAAAGTTATTCCTTTCATCAAAATTTTTGAGGCTCTGGAGGAGATCATAGTGGTGACGGGCGTCGCCGGTGCCGGAAAAACAACACTCGTCAAAAATATTGTACTACAATTTTGCAAGCCGCCACAAGGGGTTGACGATAACTTGAGTTCATTTGACCAACTCATCTTCTTCGAGTGCAGGGATCGCACCAGTAAAGAACTGAGTGACGTCATCAAACACCATTTTAATTATCTGTGCAACAAACCAGGAGATCAATTGAACGTCCTTGATGCCATTTTACGCCTTCGCGTCTTATTCATCATCGATGGCTTCGACGAAGTCAACATAAATTCCATGAAAGTCGTTAACGAAATTTTCGAGAAAACGGGGCGCCGCAACTGTCGAGTGTTGATCACTACTCGTCCTCATACCATGGAGGGGAAGCTGTCACCGCTCCTCAAGAAATGCAATGTCAGTTCCACTCAGTACGAGATTCAACCGCTCAAGGAGCTTGCCGACCAACTTGCATTCTTGGAGCGCTACGAAGCGGCCCTGAGCGGTGGCACTTCGACTGGGGAGATAACAAGGAGCTTCGAGTCGATGAATAAAGATGTCAGAAGTCAATTCTTGGAACCCATCAGCTTGGTTCATTTCTGTGAGATACATAAGCATTTCCCTGAGGAGATATCCTCGTGGCGGACGCCTGGGGACGTAGCCCCTTCTAAGCTGCGCCTATACAGGAAGCTCATCAGTGACAAACTAGCGGGCTGGATTAATAAGGACATGGAAGTCCTCGTGGACGACATGTTCGCTCTGGTCGGCGCCGAAGCGCTGGAGTTGCTCCGAGACAACGTCGTGACTTTCTCAGAGGCAGAGTTGCGTGCCATAAAGCGGAAGTGTCAAATTGAACTGAAGGGCGATGACGAGGTCGATCCTGCAGTTGTACTCTCAGTGGTGTTGAAGGAGCACAAACCTTTGTGTTTGAACAGTAGTTCAAGCTATGAATTTAAGCACAAGAGTGAGCAGGAAATGTTTGCTGGTCATTACATCGTTCAGCGCATAATTGGAGGGAATGCCAACCCCCTCTACAGCATCCTAGGAGTCCCTAAGGAGGAAATGGCTAGGTGAGTATGGTGCTGAATAACCTGCTGTACCTGCACGCAACGACCAGAGAGTACCATAAAGCTCCCAGCCATGAGCAGTGATTTGCATAATGTTAACAGCCATGAGCAGCGAGCGGCATAATGTTCCCAGCAATGAGCAGTGATCTGTATAATGTTAACACCCTTGAGCAGTGCGCTGCATAATGTTCCCACCCTTGAGCAGTGAGCAGCACAAAACTCTCAGCCATGAGCAGTTAGCAGCACAAAGTTCTAAGCCATGAGCAGTGAGCAGCACAAAGCTCTCAGCCCTGAGCAGTGAGCAGCATATGTCATATGCCGTGGCATAACTCAACAGAATCGCTGACCTCGCAACGCCAGCATTTAAAAATATTTCAATAACCGCGGCGTCTGAGGCCGAAAGCATCGAGTTGATAACATCTGCAGAGTCTCTTGGATGAATATGTCAAACTCGTATTGATTTAAACGTTTCATATATAATTAATGTCGTCTCCGTATTGCCGAGTTTCAAATTATGTTATCAATTATCCCGCTTCAAATAATGTGTTTCACCCCCTTCCTTCCCTCGGCCTCCCCATCCCCCCGCTTACTAACCACTCCCCCCATGCCACACTGCGGCTCTACTTACTATTGTATTTACCCTCCAACTTACTATTGTATTTGCCATCCTACTTACTATTGAATTTACCCTCCTACTTACTATTGTATTTATCATCCTACTTACTTTTGTATTCACCCTCCTACTTACTATTGTATTTACCCTCCCTTTTACTTACTATTCTATGGGTATTTACCCTTTTAATTACTATTCTATTTACTCTCCTACTTAATATTGTATTTACCCTCCTACTTCACATTGTGCTTACTCTCCTACTTACTATTGTATTTTTCCTCCTACTTACTATCGTACTTACCCTCCTACTTACTATTGTATTTATTCTCCAACTTACTATTGTACTTTCCCTCCTATTGACTATTGTATATACCCTCCTACTTACTATTGTATTTACCATCCTACTTAATATTGTAATTGCCCTCCTACTTACTATTGTATTTACCCTCCAACTTACTATTGTATTTACCCACCTACTTACTATTGAATATACTCTCCTACTTACTATTGTATTAATCCTTCTACTTACTAATGTATTCACTCTCCTACTTCCAATTGTATTTACCCTCCTACTTACTATTGTATTTACCTTCTTACTTACTTTTGTATTTACCATCCTACGTACTATTGTATTTATCCTCCTACTTCATATTATACTTACTCTCCTACTTACTATTGTATTTACACTACTACTTACTATTGTATTTACCCTTCTACATACTATTGCATATACCCTCCTACTTACTATTGTATTTACCCTCCTACTTACTATTGTATTTACTCTCCTACTTACTATTGTATTTACTCTCCTACTTACTATTGTATTTACAATCCTACTTAATATTGTAATTGCCCTCCTACATACTATTGTATTTACCCTCCTACTTACTCTTGTATTTACCCTCCTTACTATTGTATTTACCCTCTTACTTATTATTGTATTTATCCTCCTACTTAATATTGTACTTACACTCCTACTTACTATTATATTCACCCTCCTACTTACTATTGTGCTTACCTCCTACTTACTATTGTATTTACCCTCCTACTTACTATTGTATTTTCCCTCTTACTTTTGTATTTACTCTCCTACTTACTATTGTATTTACCTCCTTACTATAGTATTTACCCCCCTACTTATTATTGTATTTTCCCTCCTACTTACTTTTGTATTTATTTTCCAAACTTACTATTGTACTTACCCTCCTACTTACTATTGTATTTATTCACTTACTTACTATTATATTTAGCCTTCTACTAACTATAGCATTTATTTTCCGACTAACTATTGTATTTACCCTCCTAAGTATTGTATTTACCTTACTACTTTCTTTTGTATTTGCCCTTCTACTTACTATTGCAATTATGAAGAGGAGTAGAATGGAAACAATTTTTCATTTGCGTTTTTAATTACTCCTCCTACTTCTTAGACCTGTAGGGGATTTAAGTTTTGTCAAAAATAAATAAAGATATCATATATCTTAATACAATATTCGGTTTGCTAACAATCGCATTTTAACAGGTGGAAATAACGGAACTCACCTCAGATGAGGTCTATACAGAACTTATCGGAGAATTTTCATATCAATAAACAGAATCTGTAACAAAAAGAATAAATAACTATCAGAATAATTAACTGCAAAAACAACATTGAAAGACTGCTACGCTACTACTAGGAGGCGGCCTTACGTCCGACCCCGGTGACGACTGGTCTTACAATGTCTGTCTAGATAGCGGTTCTCTGATTTCAAGTGTGGTGCAGTGTTGCCACATGGGCATGACAATTACTCTCCTACTTACTATTGTATTTACCTCCTGATTATTATATTTACCCCCTTACCTATTATTGTATTTTCCTCATACTTACTATTGTATTTACTCTCCAACTTACTATTGTATTTGCCATCCTACTTACTATTGTATTTACCCTTCTGCTTACTATTGTATTTACCATCCTACTTACTATTGTATTTACCATCCTACTTACTATTGTATTT